ATATATAGGTAGTAATATAGGTGAGTGCATAAAGAGAGAGGCAGTGTATATACATATACATAGACACATATCAATAAACACATAATTCCATTTAGATTAAAATAGAATAATATGTGAAACTTTCTTTAAAAAGGTTAATTTAATCACAGAGTGATTTTTCCATGTGATGTTACTAATAGACACTCATTATACAGCAATCTGCCCTATCACCTAGCCACAAGCACAGCCACCATCATTACCCACGTGTGGCCGACCCCCACACTATGAGCTTACCTACTGCACTGCCACCAACCACAGCGTGCTCAGCTCTTCCCGCACTCACTGCAGGATAGCACTGCGCATGCGCCCCATCTGTTCTCAGCCTGTGCGGTAAGCATGCTTGCAGGGGATGCCAAAATCCGGGCTTCCTATTGGTTGAGAGCAACTGTCACAGTAGCTTCCTATTGGTTGAGAGCAACTGTCACAGTAATGGGAGAAGGGATGCGGCCAATCAGGTCACGTGGCCTTGGTGTGGCAGGAGAAGGGGAATGTAAAGATGGAGGGGAGGAGTGGGGTGATTGTAATTCAGGCAGAGCACACAAAATGGCTGAAAAGCTAGAGCCACCATTAAAGCAGTGTATTAGGAAAGCAAGCAGCGAGTTGTGAAGATATGACAGCTTGAAACCTGTAGTGTGATAGGACTATTCAATAAACTGCAAATTTCAGAGAATTACAATTAATACTCAATCAGTGGCTACAGCTGACATGGAGAATTTTTCCAAATTGTCCTAAATGTCACCTTTCTGACATGCTACAATTTTATGTTTAGGGAATACACCCACACAGTATTAAGGAAATACCATGTTGCAGTCCAAGTGTCACTGCATCATTCTAATGAATGTGGTGATGGTGTGTGTTCCAAGTGTAATAAAAGCATGGGAATTCTAAATACATAAAGCCAGATTCTCACAATGGCTATCTATCAGGATATTAAATGTGCAATTCCTCACTGAAGGATGATGCGAGATAACAGAAGGGTACATGGGAACTGCTCAGTAAGTGCGCTGTTTGTCATGAAGGGAGGAGAGAGATAGAAAAAAAGGTTCTGAATTGGAAGACTGTTCCCGAAAGGGCTGAAGGACATCATAGTCTAATAAATATTTGGCAACGTTACCAATAGATCTCTCATCATGGGAAGCTTCAAAAGGATATTTCAAAGTATTGCAAAAGAGTACAGAAGGCAAAACTATAAAACCATAGTGACCGACTCTGTTTTATTATTTTCAAAATCAATAAAATGCAAAAAGCAAGATGTTTTAAAAACTGAACGGTTATTCGCTAAACTCAGAACTGGGGAAATTATAATAAATTGAAAGTCAGTTTTTCAATTGAGCTATTGCTATTATTTTTATGCTGGATTTGAAACAAATATTTTTGCATAAAATGTATAATTCACTTTTAATTCCCCATAACAGACACTTAAGTTAAAAATGACCTATTTGTTCCCATATATATATTTTCAGTGTTTGATAAATGTCTAGGTTCTTGTACTTTTAATTCAGATAATAAACAATTCAGATAATTTTAGTACTATTTTCTTTTATTTATTTTTTTAGCAGAGGCCATTCCCTCTTCATTTATTGAGAATTAATCTTCATTAAGGATTTTGCTTTTAGTGAATATTTGATTCACAGGTTTTTGTCGCACACTCGGGCTCCTTTGGATCTTGGTGAATTACCACAGATAATAATTATTTATAAACTGCAATTTCTAGGATGTTTTTTTTTTTTTAAGTTAATCAATCACTACTAAAAACAATACAATCTTCCTGCAGATTGCTCCATTTCTATTGTGCTCACTATACGTAACTATGGCTATTTGTTTCTTTTATTTTCAGATATAGAGAAAATACAGCATGTCACGTAGAACCATACATATATTACAAGATGTATAGAAAGGAATAGCAAAACTACTGGATTACGGATTTTATAATAGGAAATGTCATATTATATCTCAGCATCCCATATTATATGTAGGAACGTAGACCGACCCTTTGCAGGCCCAGATATCTGAGAGGCACATCTAGAATGGAACTGTAAGTCAAATCAAAAAGGCCTGGTATCGCAGATGTAACTATAAGTATATTTAAAGTAAAGTATTTCAGGGGAGTTTAAGGTTTACAGTAAGTCCATTTGCATACAATATGCTTACAAATAAGGGTATTTTTATGTTATCCCCTTCTAAAATACATTCCTCCCAGCATTTGGAGGTATGAATCTGGGACAGTGGGTAGGTGGACCAGAAAGAGGGCAACGGCAAACCTGGTAATAATGCACAACATTTTTCTGGTGTCCCAACATGCATGGCACACAAGGAATTAACCCCGGATAGCAGTACAGGACTGCACATACAGGGCAACACAATAACTTCTCCAGGCACTCACAGAATTTCTTGTGTGATTGCTGATCCTGCTCCAGAGCACTGGGTGGCTTCTGAAATTAAGTGCGGCTCCTATTACCATTTTTGCACATTCGCGGCAATCCCACCGATATCAGAATAGTTGGGAGGTGTGAAATTAACATATTAAATTAAATAAACTACGTAAATTCATTAAACATTTAACTGAAACCTCACTTTTTCTTTCAGTTAAACATTCAAGATGCAAAATCTAGGAATTAAATTTAAATTATAAGAAGTCTTATTATGATAGCTTGGGACAATGTTTCAAGCTATAGTCTTACAGGCTGGATCAGTTAATTTATATATATATATATATATAGATATATATATATGTATATACAGATAATGCAAGGAAACCAATTAACAAAATAAATAAATTCATAAGCATGTGCACGTTACCGTGCTTTCTGTAAATTCCTATCCTAAATGATCCACATTAGCTGTGAATGTCCATGAAAGATCCCTAAGTAGTTGGGAAAGCAACTACGCCAAGCATTTTCCAAACTATTTAAATATTTATTATATCTTTATTATATCTATTTAATATTTAAAATAGAGTTTTAATCAATTCACAAATAATTCACCAAATAAATCAATAAATAATAAATAAATAAGATAATTACACTTAATACATTTTAAATAATTAACCTAGGTTGTAAGCTCTTTTGAGCAGGGTCCTCAGCCTATTCTAACTGTAACGTTTTGTAATTGTCTAATTTATTGTTAAATATCCCCTAAATAACATTATACAGAGCTGCAGAATAAATTGGAGCTGTATAAATACCAATAATAATAATAACAATAATAATAATACATTGGCAGGACACTTTTTAATAAACCCTCTCTATTTCCATTATATGAAGAAATTGGGATGGCATGCGGAATCTTTTTTAAATATTTGTATATTTCATTTAAACGGAAACTGTAGTGCCAGGAAAATTTCCTATATTGCCCACCTCCCTCCCAGTGGTGCAGAAGGTGTTAAAAACCTCTTTTGTTACTTGCTTGAGTCCAGCGCCAATGGTCCTCAGTGCTGGCTCAGACTCCACCACTGCTACTGCAAGGGCTGCGCTCGGATTAGGATTTATACAATGCTTTCCTATGGGGTTTTGGGTGAAGCTGGACATCCTCATGCATTGCGTGAAGGTGTCCAGCGTCAGTTAGAAAACCAAAAGTCGCCCAACTGCACGGACATCCTTCTAGTGGCTGTCTGGAAGACAGCCACTAGAGGTGGCGTTAACCCTGGATAGTAATTATTGCAGTTTCTCAATAACTGCAATAAATAATATTGCAGGGTTAAGTGACCTGGGAATTTACACCCAGAATACTTCAATGAGCTGAGGTGGTCGGGGTGCCTATAGTGTCCCTTTAAGCCAAGTGGCTATCAGCTGACTCTCTCGGCCAACAAGCTACCTAGCTATGCTTAGGAGCTTTCCATCGGAAGTAGTGGAGGTGAGCAGCATGGCTTGAAGGACCCCTAGTAAGAAATCAAACCAATCTAAAACAATTGTACTACTTTCAATGGCAACAGGGAACTCTTGGCATAATAACCAGTATAGCTCATTGTAGTGCTTTATGCTTCTTGAAAAGCTCCTTTATCTCACACAGAAATCTTCCAGCTCTTTGTTGGAGGTAGTAGAGGCAAGGAGGGGTTCCCGGTAGATATTTTGGCTGCTTACAATAGAGGGATGGAGATGGGGTGTCACCAGGGCGCTCCTGGGACTATAACTATCAGTGCAAGCTGTAGTGTTATGAAGCTTGGACTTTTTTCTTTTAATCTCCAAATTTTATCGCATATACACAGTCATGTAATGATTGAGTATTTGCTATTTAATCCATACATGCAGGGTTATTCACTATATTATGAAATATTTGGAATTTAAAGTGAATTTCAAATTTTAGGTTAAAATGGGTGACCTGAAACATTGCTAATTTAGAGAATTTTTCCAATTCTGCTATTTTAGCATTGAATTCAGTTTGAATTCCTAAAAATTCATACTTTGGTGAATTACCACATATAGATATGTATTTAAATATGGAATTGTAGAATCTACACATTTATCACGTTTCCTGAGAATGAGCCTATTTGGACAATCAAAAGTAGCTCAGTGCGTGCTATTTATAACGCAAACTACAGAAAAATCACAATTCATATTCTGGCTACAGGAAATGGATTATACCATTCTATTTGCCATGTTTAAATTTCACCATTAGGATTGCAGGTTTAATGCAGTTTGGCTTTTACTAAATAAGGCTCAAACGTATATACAACTATAAAAGGTAAAACATGCATTCCAGTCTTCTCAGGGTACATCTCCTTGAACCTCAACCCTTCCCAGCTATACTGGTTGTTCACACATAGTGACAGCAAAGATAAATAAGGAAATTGAAGACTTCAATTTATTAGTAAACATAGAAAAAGGTTGGGGCATGTTTATTGCTACATAATATCAGTAAGGTCGTGAATTCGTATGTATTACTGAGCCATCAAACCGAAAGTTGCTGGCTCATTGGCCAAAAGAATATTCATATTGTTAGCTGAAAGAGTTGCAAGAGGCGTTCCTTCGGTAGCTCAGATGGTAGAGCGGAGGACTGTAGTGGAATTACCTAAACTGTAATCCTTAGGTCACTGGTTCGATTCCGGTCCGAAGGACTTAATTTTTTGCATTAAAAATAAAAAAAATATTTCTCTGTTCTCCCGTAATTATTGAGAGCAAGCAGATAATTGTATAGTTTTATTTTATTTTTATTTTTTTTTTTTTTTTTTTAGACTTCATTCTCACAAGTAAAGTCCAGAATAAAGTAAATACACACTACAATAAGAATCCTCTCTGGCAAATATATTAAGCCCAATGCTGCTAAACTGTACGTAGCATTTTGTTGTTTTATTTTATGTACATACACATGATGTATGAATGTAGCTACAACAGGGGTGGGGCAGGAAGTAGATCCCTAACTGTTGCAGCACTACAACTCCCGTGATGCTTTGTCGGGTTAAGGGCTGATAAGGCATTAAGGGACTTGTAGCTGCTGTTATATAAGTTCTTTATTTATGCAGCATTTAGCTAGTTGTATATTGCCTTACATTTCTGCAGTATATTCACTATGCAGTTATTTCTCCAACTTCAGTTCCAGTAAGAACGTTCATGTTCTAACCCCAGTTTAGCACAATTCGAAGCTTAGTGGATAGAGCCCCAGGAATGATTACGAGAAGGTTTCATTTGTTTTTGTAAATTTTCAGTTCATTATTGATATGTTTTTGTGCTGGCAGGCTGAGGGTAACTAAAACACCAACAGAAAGCTATATATATATGGCTGTGAAGACTAATACACAGTATGCAGTTTATTGGGCACTGTATAAAATATATATAACATATAATGCTCAGTGTAGTGCTAAAACGATTTTATATGGTTTTTAACATCAAATCAAATATTGATCAATGCTAAGGTGACATCTAGTGGTCTGTTGTGTGAACTGCAACATGGCATATAAAATTGACATTTAATGAACATTCTAAGTAAACTAACCAAATGCATTTCTACATGGTTTGATGTTAAACCAGGACACAGCACCAAAACACTTTAGGTAAAATAGCCTATACAAAACACTGGATATTGAACTGGTTATTATCTGTCTTGATGCACACACACTTACTCTCTCTCCCTCTCTCTCTTTCGAAAAAAATGTACACCCTCTTTGATTTCTATGGTTTTACATATCAGGGCATCATTACAATCATCTGTTCCTTTGCAGGTCTTAGCATTAACTTTCATTAAGTTTACTTTTGTTCAGTGTTTTTTTGTTTTTGTTTTTTATATATATTTTTGTTTTTTTCATCCAGTCTCACAGTTCTTTATACTTGGTGTGATCACACAAGCTATTGGATCTTTCGACCCGCTCATGGGTTATCTGCTCTGCTCTCAATTGGCCCCGTGGGACCTGTGAAATAACCCAAATCATTTGGTCCTTGCTTCTTTCACAGCATACCAGTGCCTCCCCCACTATCACAGGACATGGTCAAGTAATGGTAATCCTGTTTGTATACCATACTATTAGCCAATGGCATTAGGGGTTTTTATATGACTGCTATAGACTACACGGTTGCCTTGTTGGGATGCCTTCCATAGTAAATGATGTCACAGTTTCCTACGAGGGGGATTTGGGGAAGTAATTTAATCCTTCCCATATAGCCTATAGGAACCTTTCGCACTCTCATTGTTTAATAGGTTAGCTCTATGTATAATCATTTCAGTGGGATTCGCTTCTCTAAAGTAATGACTGCGCATTACTAACACACTAGTTGGACTGGACGTTTGAGTTGACTTTTCTTTATTTAGTGTTATAAGTTCTTTTTTTTTTGATATTCCAAATCTGTCAGCAATAAATTTAACTGAAATGCTAAATTAGCCAATTAGAATGTGTAGCCATATACATTTCTCCATGGTGCCAAGAGTTGATTACAGGAACATTACAAGCACAGTAACCACTACAACATGCTTTAATGGTTATGGTGCCTTGAGTGCAGTGGTGTATTTTGTGCCGATCTAGGCATGACGAAACAGGCACCTCCGACACACACACACTGACAGACACAAATACATATTCACTGACAGAAACACATACACCCTGACTGGCAGACACACACTCAGTGTCAGACACACACCCAATCAGTCAGACAGACACACACTGAGAGACACACATACACTCACTGACTGACACACACACTCACTGACAGATGCACACACTGACTGACACAGATACACATTCACTGACAGACACACAAACTAACTGATAGACACACACATACACATTCACTAATGCGCAAACACACTTAATGGCACACACACACACACATGGACAGACATACACATTCACTGACAGACATACACTCACTGACAAACACACACACTCACTCAGTGACAGACAAACACATACACTCTTACTGACAAACACACACACACACTCAGTGACAGACATACACATAAACTCTCACTGACACACACACACTCAGTGACAGACACACATACACTGTCACTGACAAACACACACACAAAGACACATAAACATACACACTCACTGACAGATAAAAACACACTGATAGTGACACACTCACAATTAAATTTTTCTTTATTTCACTCCACCCAGCCTCCCTACCTTTGGGAGTCCTGGCAAGGAGTATCTATTTCCATTTGGTCCAGTGGGAGTGCTGGGCAGGCGGTCAATGCAGGCGGAGAGGGAGCACTTTCCTCTGAGCTCTTCCTGCTCAGCTCCCTTGCGTGCTGCTTAGTGATGCCAGGACTGGAATAAAAAAAGTGAAATACAGTGCTGCTTGAATGCACTGGCACCTCCCTTGCCCACCATCATATTATAAGGAGTCAAACAGGTACTCTGCCTCTACAGCTCAATGAGAGCCAGACATTCTCTTCAATGAGCTGAGCCCAGTGGAACACTGCACTACAGGGCTTAGCTCGAGCAAGTCCTCCCAACCATCCCAATTTTGTCAGGACAGTCCTGTCCTGCCATGCCAGCTTAGTTCCCTGGGCAAACCAGGAAACTGTCCCCAACAAGCATAGCATGAACATATGATTAGATGCACAAGAGCTATGTGCAGGGCAGTAGTACCCTGCAGAGAGTACTGAAACAGTGCTCCTTACTTGGTCTGCCTCCTTTGGACATTGACCCTTTCTTTGCATTAAACTACAAATGGGGTTAACCGCTAAACTGTTCCCAGCTTAGAAATTGGGCCTTTTCCCTATGCCTATTGGCCAGACACATAAAGCAGGACTGTGGGGACTGCGAAACTGTAAGATTGTTTTTTTCTTTGTCTCTCTGAAGAATAGGCAACCGGGCAACCTATGTCTCCAGGAGATTTTTTTCAGTATTTCCAACTTGTGGATTTTGCCCACTTTCGATCACCATGAAAAGGTGAACCTTTTTTCCCATGCTGCACTGGTCTCGCGGGCCAACCTCCATGGCTGAGATCATCAATCTTGATGATCTCAACTAATCCAATGCTTTCTCATTGGAAAACATCTGGAGGCTATTGTGCATGCCCGGCAAAACGCAGTGCTGCACCAATCAGCATCTCCTCACAGAGATTAATTTAATCAATGTATCTGTATGGGGAACACTCAGAGCCTCCTTGGAGAGCTTGGGGACTCAAAGTAGGTACTGCACACTGTTGGTAATGCACACTGATAGGAAGCATCTCCAGTGGCCATCTGAGTGACTGCCACTACAATTGTTACTAGGCACCAATCTAAACACTGTCTTTTCTCTGAAAAGACCGTTTATATTGAAAAGCCGTAAGCAACATGCTATAGACACCAGAACCACTACATTGAGCAGTGGTGATTATAGTGTCCCTATATTTGCATTCTTTTGCCTTAGAGAAGTTCCACAGAAGGAGCTTATGACATCTTTATGCTATGTATTGCACTGGGGAGAACACTCCTATACATATATCTAGGCGAGCTGGTGGGGAGGCTTGGAGGGTGAGGACTCGGAGGCAGCATCCAGGGTCTCTCTATGTATTCATAGTTTGCCCTTCGGTAAATCCCCGCTCAGGTCTTAAATTAGTTTTTGCTCACTTGTGCCATTACAGAGAGAACATATTTAAAGGCATACCATACTGATCCCACCCGTAAGGGCAGTCCAGAACAGAAATGCCGGCAAGTTCTCTCTGCACGAGAGATACAGCAACTCCGGACAATCACTTCAGCCTTCTTTGGGACCAGTCAGTGAGGTGTAGCTGATAACCCGCTAGGCACAGTGAACACTGGGTCAACATCTGGATAACCCTTTTAACATGGGGAGAGCCAAGTTAAAGGGACACTCCAGGCACCCAGACCACTTCTGCCCATTGGAGTGGTCTGGGTGCCAACTCCCACTACCCTTAACCCTGCAAGTGTAATTATTGCAGTTATTTTATAAACTGCAATAATTACCTTGCAGGGTTAACTCCTCCTCTAGTGTCTGTCTACTAGAAAGCCACTAAAGGGCACTTCCGTGTCTATAGCACAGGTGTTCTGTGCTAGAGCGTCGCTGGACGTCCTCACGCTGTGTGAGGACCTCCAGCGTCGCTCAATTCCCCATAGGAAAGCACTGAAAGCATTTTCAATGCTTTCCTATGGAGAGCTTTAATGCGCATGCGTGGCATTGCCGCACATTCGCATTAGGTCTCCACAGCCGGCGGGCGGGATCAGTCTCGCCCACCGGCTGACGTAAGGAAGGGGAAGAGCGGTGGCGACCCGAAACCACCGCCGAGGGACATCGGCGGGGGTCTCAGGTAAGTGACTGAAGGGGTTTTCACCCCCTTCAGCAACCGGAGGCGGGGGGTGGGAGGGAGAGGGGACCTGCAGTGCCAGGAAAATGGATTGTTTTCCTGGCACTGGAGTGTCCCTTTAATGCATTGCAAAAAAAACCTGAGAATATGAGAACTCTGAGAACAGACAAAAGCTTAGAGAAGCTCAGTAGCTTGTCCTTTGGTAAATGCCCACTCAGATCTTAAACAATTTTTTGCTAGCTTGTGCCATTACAGGGAGAACATATATCAAGGCCCATTAGACTGATGTCAACCACATGTGCAGTCGAGAACTGAAATGCCGACAAGTTCTCTCTATCATCCATGGTTTCTGTATCTCTTGTCTCTGCAAAAGATATACAGCAACCCAGGACCATATTTTCAGCCTTCTTTGGGCCTTGTCAGTGAGGTGTATTTGATACCCCTCTAGGCACAGTGAGCACGTCTGGATTACCCTTTTAACTTGGGGAGACCCAAGTTAATGCATTGCAACAAAAACAGAGAATATGAGAACTCTGAAAATGGATAACAGCTTAGAGAAACTCAGTAGCTTACCCTTCCATAAATTCCTGCTCAGGTAAAATTAAAATAATGACGCAGTGTTATTCCAACCTGGTAACACTTTACAGGATAGGATGCACCACCACTAATGTCTGCTGGCGCTCGTGTCCAAAAAGGATCGTGGGGATGTGCACCAAAATCACACCATTCTGGGACAATGTCAGGGGGGATTCCTCAAATATCTAATTGGCTAATATATTTGGACCATATACATTCCTGCTCTTATGACCTATGGAAGGGTTCTCCACCCCACTGTAAAAAGTATTTAAAAAAATTACTTGCAAGGCTTTGGTGGTTGTTTGGCTTCAAGAGACTACCTGTTCTCTGGCTGTTGTCAAAGCAAAAGTTAAGGATGACAAATTCATGGGCAAATCTAATGCACTGGCCCCATAATTATAGCTCCTTATTTCACAAAGTATGGGTCAAGTACAAATACCCCGGTATGCATAGTATAACCTCAGTGTTACTGGACCTTAGAGTGACCAGACCTCATGATAAACAGACAGGCAGAATAGTTTCGGACTAGCCAGAGTCAAGGGAAACCAGAAATAAGGTCAATCACAGTAATACAGAACAGTATAAACACGCCATTGGGTCAAGAAGCAACCACAACAGGACACTGTTTACTTGAACTTTAGCTGTTTAACTGTATTGTAGTATGGGAGACATGATTGACATAACCACTCCCGAAAAACACCATGGGGCGGTGGTTAAGCCTAATTCCATCACTAGTGACGGCATGACTTCACCAAGCGCGTGCTGCGTCATAAAAAGCGTTGAGCATGTAGTGGGCAGCGTTACTGATGCTGCACGAGACTGCAGGGGCTAAAACTATGGCAGCCCACAGGATCAGCACTCCATGCGACCTGCGGATAGGTAAGGAATTTTTCTGAGGTAAAACTGTGCATGAAGATAAAACTGTACTGTGCCAAATACACCGGGTTTAATCCTATAGTTATACTACTTAGTAGACATATATTATAACTTGTTTGTGGTGGTAATATACACTCTGCCTGTCTACCTCACTACAGTGTATTTTTAGAATAAGTACATAGTTTTTCATGATTAGATAGAGAACTTTTAGAAGATTTATGTATATTCATAATAAACACATTTGATTTAGGATATATTTCCAACTTTGTGGGTAAATAGTTGCCGTAAGCTGTTGCTATTAACAACAGCCATTAGTTAGTAGCAGCTATAAAGTACTGACTGGCTATTAAACGTGTTGATATTTTTCATTGGCAAATCGCCAATAACGTCTGCTCACAAAGAATCCAACCACTCTCAGAGTAGCACAAAAATACATGCTGTGTAAATTATCACCATAGTATCTTCTCCTTCCTGGTAATAAAAAAAAAAAAAAGAAGGTTGAGGTTCATTTCTGCTTTGTAAATTTTTTCATGCACTTTACTTATATACACAGAATAATTTTCTTTTTCCTTGCAGTTTGTTATGGTTTAACCCCTTAAGGACTGGACTGTTTTTGCGATGTTGTACACTTGCGACCAGGCCTCTTTTTACACTTTTGTGGTGTTTGTGTTTAGCTGTAATTTTCCGCTCTCTCATTTACTGTTCCCATACAAATTATATATTGTTTTTTTCAGGACAAAAGGGGCTTTCTTTACATACCATTATTTATATAATCTCATGTAATTTAATTTAAAAAAAATTACTTTTACTTGAAAAATCTTTTACTCATCTACAAAATCAAATGAAAAAAAACTGCTAAATAGATTCAAAATTTTGTCCTGAGTTTAAAAATACCCAGTGTTTATGTGCTTTTTTGCTTTTTTTTTTTGCAAGTTATAGGGCTATAGGTACAAGTAGGATATTGCGGTTTCAAAACATACATTTTTTAAATTTATCAATAGTGACATTGTAACACTATTATCTGTCATAAATCTCTGAACAACACCCCACATGTACATATTTTTTTTAAAGTAGACAACTCAGGGTATTCAATATGGGGTATGTCCAGTCTTTTTTAGTAGCCATTTAGTCGAAAACACTGGCCAAAGTTAGCATTCATATTTGTTTGTGTGTGAAAAAAGTAAAAAACTAAATTGAACGTTAATTTTGGCCAGTGTTTGTGACTAAGTGGCTACTAAAAAAGACTAGACATATCCCATTTGCAATACTTTGGGTTGTCTTCTTTTGCAAATGGTATGCCATCATGGGGGTAATTCTCATTCCTGGGCTACCATACGCTCTCAAAAGCAACGTAACCAACCTGGCCTTTTTCTTTTTTTTTGTTTAATATCATTTTTATTGTGTTTTCAAGAAGGATCATCAAAACAAGGGGTACAGAAGAGACAAGGGAATTGACATAGTTATAACATAGTGGGGTTCCGTCGAATTATACATAGTTATTAATTCAAACCTTTTTGTTTGCGTATCCCTGTCTTATGCTGACGAGTTCAAAGGGTATAGTGGTGGGTAGGATGGGGGAGGATGGAAACCTAGGGAAGGGGAGGTGGGTGGAAGGGTACTGGGTGGGGTGGTATCCTGTCGCTACCTCTCTGCAATGTGGTTTAGATTTCTCCGGCTGTTGCTGTAAGACCTGTCCTACTTCCGTATACGGCATGTCTAAGTGCTCTCGCTGCAGGTGTTCATGGGTGTGGTCCCTGCGAGGGGGGTCTTCCAATAGTTAAGCCAGGGTTCCCAAGTTTTGGAGTATTTGTCCCTCTTGCCCTGGGTTGCCCAGTGAATCTCCTCTAGTTCTCTAGTCCTTTCTACCCGTTGGACCCACTGATCTCTAGAGGGTGTTTGTGTTTGTCGCCAGAGCATGGGGATCAGGGCATTGGCCTCTCCTCTGAGAATGTTCAGAAGTTGCTGTTTATACAGGTCTGTCAGAGTCCGGGGCCACCCTAGTAGTACTTGGGAGGGAGATATTTGTGCTCTCAGGGGTAGGAGTTTCTTAATGTTTGCAAGTATAACGTTCCAGAACGGGGCTATGTTCCTGCATCCCCACCATATATGTTCCATGTCCCCCTCTGCTGCCTCGCACCTCCAGCACTGGTCGCTAACTGTGGGCCAGTAGGTATGGAGTAGAGCTGGTGTTCTGTACCATCTGGTGACCCTTTTGTAAAATGTTTCTTTGCGGGCTATGCTAAGTGGGGCTTTCATCCCCGGGCTCATGATATGTGACCAGTCACCAGTTGTCATATGTATGTGAAGTTCCCTCATCCATTTTCGTTGGTATGAGGGTCTGGGTACGTCACCAGTTTCTGTTTGGAGGAGGCGGTAGATGGCCGACAAGGGCCGTTTAGTTTTACTGCCCTGGGTGCATAGAGATTCAAATGGTGTCTTGTCCCTTTTTTTCCATAGCGGGAGAACCGAGTGGGTCAGGAAATAGGTTAACTGGGCTCTAGCCATAGTATCTAGTAGTGTCTCTCGGCTGCAAGGCTTTGGGAAGATCTTTATTTTTGGTGGGTTGTCCCTGACAGGACTGCCGCTACCTCTGGACAGGCGTTCGCAGTGACTCGGGTTAGAGTGGCGCTTCCATGTCCATTTTGGAAATCTGGGTTGTTAGCTAGAGGGAAAAACGGGGATAGTCCGGGGGATAGTCCCCAATCCTCTCTGTGCCTCCTCCATGTCCGGAGTGTGTTGTGGATAAGTGGATGGTGTGTTGGGGAGAGTTTTGTGAGCTGGCATGTCTGCCAGGGAAGCGTGTGGAGGGGCATTGTCGCAAAACTCTGGTCTAGTTTGTACCAGGCTTTTGTTTTGTCCACATTATTTGATTCCTTAACTCGCGTGAGTAGGACTGCTACATAATATTTGTACAGATGGAGACAGCCCGGCTAAAGTCTCTCAGTGACACAATTGACAAACTGAAGAATGAAGTTCTAAAGGAGACAGTCTTCCAATGTACTGGAGCAAATGTCCCAACACATTTTGCCACGTTTCCTTCCTCTGCCTTCATTAAGGCCAAAGAAGAGAAGAAAGAAGACACAGTATACATTGGCAAAGTGGTTCTCCCTTGTCAGCCAGGGCATGGCGAGCTACACCGGCTTGTGCTGACCCCAGAACAACTAGAAGATTTGCATGGCAGATTGATCCGTTAAGAGCATATTTACAGGCCTTGTTTGGGCTTTGCCTCTCACTGGCCAAAGAGTTGATGTATTGGTCTAATCGGTGCGATCTGAAATATGATGCCCACATAAAGTACATCTCTCGGTCTTCCATCCTCGTACTGTCCATGGATGCTTATTTTATTACTTCCTGTAGATCTCTATAGCAATGGCGGGATTGTTTCTTTTACAACCTGGTCAAGTGATAAAGGCCATCTCTCAGTTGAGGTTTGAGTTAACTTACAGGAATAGCTCTTAATGGCACTTAAAATAATAATTAAAAAAATGTATTATTCCTGCTCCGTGTTGGTGTATTATGGTATTGTCAGCCTGTATTGTCAGCATAACTAATGTACCGTAACTATTGAGCATACATTCATCCTCTTCTTCACTCTGCATTGCTTTGGTTCCCATCTACAAGAGTCAGTAGAAATCCTCCGTGCCCATATCATTGTAGTTTTAGACCGATATCTTTCTCCCCGTGATTCGGTTACAGATGGAGGTTGACTGTGTCATGCTTCATTAACAGAGGTTATGATTTACAATGTTTTTGAAGTTAGAGGATTCTGAATGTTGTTACAATATATTTCTTCACAGTAACTTTGGCTCAAAAAAAAAGCCGATAAGAATCTTTGTTTAATTGACACTACAGTTTATTGCATAGAAATACAATTTGTAACTCATTAAAATACACATTTACTATAATTTTCTTCACTAAATGATAATCCTTTGTATCCAAATGATTGCTCATCTCTTGCACTTACACACAAAATGTAATCTATTCTCCTCTCTCCTTCAGTGAGAACTGCCAGATAGGCCAGGTTACTTAAAATAAAAATAACCTAAAGTGTCTAGTTCATGCACCCCATGTCATATTGAACTCCAAGGTGTCCAAGTTTTGCCCCTCTTACGTGGAAGGCTGAGAGATGTACTCATTAATGGCTTTAAAGCCATGGCAAACTGAGGAGTTATTGGTTGAACTTAATGCATTTTAATCATTTGCATTTTGAATGATGAAGGCTAAATTATTTCTACTGAAGGTCATGACACCAGGATCAACTCCGCTTGTTAACTGACTGGACAGCCACTAAGCACTCATTCCCCCCAGTGTCAGCATGCTTTGTTTTTCTTCTGGCAGACAAAGGGTATGGGGATTATTTAAAGAACCTTGTTGCCTTTTTACTTTTTCTGACACCTTTTTGTTACTATCTGCACCTTCTGCTAGCTGGGTTCATAAAACTCAAACTATATGAAACTGCTGTATTATGTGTAAGACAATAAATGGAACCAATTGGGTTACATATTGCATCGGTTATTAATAAAGCACTATATCATCTTCTTCCTATCTAAGGAACACCCCAATAAATAAATAAATAAATAAATATTTGTACAGATGGGGCAAGCCCAACCCTCCCCTCCCTGGTGAGGATGTTAATGTAGAGTATGCCAACCTCGCAGGCTTGTTACCCCATGTGTATTTTGTAAGCATGGATCGCATGCGTCGGAAGAATTCTCCCGGGAGATCGATATGCAGGGCCTGGAACATGTATAATACTTTTGGTAGGGTCATCATTTTTATAATGTTAACCTCACCCATTAACGAGAATTGGGGTGAATCCCATTTTTTAAGGTCTCGGTCTATAGTATCTATAAGGGTAGGGAAGTTCTGTGCGTGTAGGTCTTTGATTGACGGCGTTAGGCGAATTCCTAGATATGTCAGACCTTTTCGTGACCAGGTGAAGTTGTGGGACTCTCGGATCTGGGTCTGTAAGGCCGGTGGTATGGAGTTTCCCAGGATCTCACATTTTTACGTGTTGATTTTGAAATTTGATAGTGCTCCGAATGTCTCTATTTCTGTCTGTACCTGAGTGAGTGTGTGGAGGGGGTCCGTGATGGAAAAAAGCACGTCATCTGCGAATGCAGAGACCTTCACCTCCCACCCCGGATAGCGATATCCCCTGGTTTTGGGATTGTTGCGGACAACTGTCAGGAATGGCTCTATCGCCAGGACAAACAGGAGGGGGGAAAGTGGGCATCCCTGGCGGGTGCCATTTCCTATTTAGAAGGGTGCTGATTGTTGTCCATTTACCCTTACAGCGGCTGTAGGCCCTTTGTATAGTGTATGTATCCAGTTTCTCAATTTTGGGCCTAATCCTAGATTTTCTAGGACTCCAAATAGGTACTTCCAGTCTACCCTATCGAAGGCCTTTTCTGCGTCTATGCCTAGTAGTGTTGTTGGGGTGTTATTAGTGTTAGCTCCATGTATGATACTTATTATTCTTGAGGTGTTGTCCCTGGCACAAAACCTGCCTGGTCAGGATGAATCAGTTTCGGCAGTAGGGGTTTAATATGGTTAGCAATCAACCTGGCTATTAGTTTGAGGTCTAGGTTGATAAGGGAGATGGGTCTGTAGCTGTCGCATGCTTCAGGGTTCTTCCCAGGTTTGGGAATAATGGTGATAGATGCGCGCAGCATTGGGGCAGGAAGAGAGGTGCCCCGTCCTAGCTCGTTTAGCATTTTAAGAAAGTGTGGTCCCAGATCCTCCGTCAGTGTCTGGTAATATCTAACAGTTAGGCCGTCTGGACTGGGGCTTTTGCCCTTCGGCATTGTTTTAATCGCTGAGGAAAGCTCCTTATGGGAGAAGGGCTCATCTAGCACCTGAGCCGTCTCGGTCGAGACCCTGTGGGGTAGATTGGCCTTCAAGTAGTCTTGTAGATCAAGAGGGGTACCTTCCGGGGGTGTAAGGTTATAGAGATTGTGATAGAGTTCGCGAAATGCATCTGCTATGTCATTAGTGGTGTTGCGTTGTTTTCCCTGGCTATCTTTTATGCGGGTTATAAAGGATTTTTGGAGCTTGGTCTTCAGTGCCCGTGCTAGCATTTTCCCACTTTTATTACCATGCGCATAGAAAGAACATCTCGTTAACTGGACTGCCCTATGTGCTCTAAGGGACAGAAGGGATCTAAGTTCTATTCTGAGACCTGTTAGTTTGTGGAATATTTCTTGCATAGGGTTCTGTTTGTGTAATGTTTCCTGCTGCTGTATGGCTATTGTCAGGGCAATCTGCTTTTGTGCTCGTTCTTTCTTGATCCTAGATCCCCATTTAGTCAAAAGTCCCCTAATTACCCCTTTGTGTGCCTCCCATACCCATATGTCTGATACATCTGCTGTTGTGTTTTCAAGGAAGTAATTGCGGAGGGTCGCCCGTATATCCTCGATTACTCTTGGGTCATCTAGGAGGGTCTCATTAAGTCGCCATTGTGTGCTATGTGTGGGGGAGCTTTGTAGTGATAGAGTCATGAAGATCGGGGCATGGTCCGACCATGTGATGCTACCTATGCTTGCGTCTTTTAACATGGAGAGATATCTGTGGCTTAGGAGGAACATGTCGATTCTAGAATAGCTTAGAGCGGTTTGTGAATAGTATGTGTAGTCCCTGTCTTGTGGGTGGGTTAGGCGCCAGCAGTCCATTAGCTGGTGTGCATATAGCGCATTCCCCAGTAGGGTACGTTGGTGTCGCCTTTTGTCTGTGGCGTTAGTGGTGCTGTCTATCGAGTGGTCTAGTACCATGTTCCAGTCCCCACCCACAATCACCACTCCTTCTGCGAAGCTGTCTAGTTTGTTCAAGCATGAGCGAGCAAAGGAGCCCTGATCTGTATTCGGTGCGTATATATTGGCCAACGTTATTTGCGTGCCTTGGCATTTCCCTTTGACAAACAAGAATCTCCCTCCTGGATCCGCTTTCACATTGGTATCTGTGAGAGCTGCTCAAGTGTTCACCAAAATCGCTACCCCTCTAGATTTACTTTTCCCATAGTTGCTATAATAAGATTGTTGGATGTGTTTAGACCTAATCCTAGGTTGTACTCCCCCACCCCCCGAGGTGCGTTTCTTGAATGAATATGATGTCTGCCCTCTGTCTATCAATCTCCTGGGCCAGCATGCTGCGTTTTTCAGGGGTGTTGAGTCCCCTCACATTTAGGGACATTAGGTTAATTTGTGCCATCATGGTAAATTAGTCGGTCGTACCGCTTCATACGGAAGTGGAGCCGCAGGGTTAGGTATGCGACAGCTGGGGGGGGAGGGGTAGGGTGGGTAAGGGAAACCAGAAACTATATACACAAAAACGATGTAGTATCAACATATTTACAAGGAGTTGGCGCTGCACTTGTGGAAGACGTCGTGTCCCCAAGTAAATGTTTAAGCGCCTCTCTGTGGGGGGTGAAGTTCTGTCTGTCGGGACAGGTCCTGAACAGGATAATGAAGTGAGTATCTGGGACTTACTCAAAGTGAACTATATAGTCCCCTTGAGGGGCCTGTCTCTATGTCCCTTTAAATGTACCCGGTTCCGGGCTCCCCCGGACCACCTAGTGTAGCAGTAATTCGTACTTTTGGGTCTTGGGGCCTTTGTGGTCGGGATACTATAGATCAGTAGAAGTCATTGGCGGCAATGGTAACAACCTGGCCTTTTTCAATGTAAAAATATTTGACCCATATATTTGACCCTGTAACTTTCAAAAAACGCTATAAAACCTGTACATGGGGGGTACTGTTATACTCGGGAGACTTTGCTGAACACAAATATTAATGTTTCAAAACAGGAAAATGTATCACAACAATTATATCATCAGTAAAAGTGCTGTTTGTGTGTGAAAAATGCAAAAAAAGTCACTTTAACTGACAATATCATCACTGTGATATGTTTTACTGTTTTGAATCACTAATATTTGTGTTCAGCGAAGTCTCCCGAGTAAAACAGTACCCCCCATGTACAGGTTTTAGGGTGTCATAGAACGTTACAGGGTAAAATACAGTGCTAGCAAATTAAATTCTCTGGACTTTCGGCCTGGGTTGGCAGGCAGGTCCCTCAAATTGCAATCAATAAAATTACTTAATGTAAAAATATTACATAAATACGCACGTAGAATTTAAATATATATGCATATTTATATATTTGAAGTCTACGTGTATATTTATATAATTATTTATGTAATTTTGTATATGGACATATGTATATTTCGTATTATTTTTATTTATTTATATATACATAGATATATATATACAATTTCATTCTAAGTGTATTTTGATATAAATATATATATATATATATATATATATATATATATATTACTATCAAAATACAGTTAGAATAACATTTCATATAGATATATATATTTTTGAAATTTTTATTATTTTTACATGTTTTTATTTAATTTAAATTACTTATTATTTATATTTTATAATAATATTTATATACAATATATATAGTTATTATTTATATTATATATATACGTGTGTAATTTAATTATACGTGTATTTTTATATTAATATATGTACATATTAATATAAAAATACACTTAGTATGACATATATATGATATATAGACATATATTATATAAATATAATATATGTCTATATATCATATATATATATATACACATATATAATTTTTAGTTTTTTTTATTAACATTAACTTTAATTTTTATTTTACACTAGCAGGGAGACTGCCTGTCAGCACAGGCAGTCCCCCTACAGGCAGACACATGGACACCTATTGTGACCATGTGATCGCTCTGTTGAGCGATCACATGGCCACAGGGGTCCTAATCCGCCATGGGGAGACTGTCTGGGCTGCAGGCAGTCTCCCCACACCGGGAGTAACGCCGATCGCCGCCGGGGAACAATGGCGATCGGGTAAGTACATTGGACCGTTAGGATGGTTCAGGAGCATCACCGATCGGCAACGCAAAAATGCCGATGACGGTCCTAAACCGTCCTCGGTCATGAAGGGGTTAATATGAATTTTTTTATGATGTGTAGATATTTTGCTGTTGTATTGAGGCTGGTGTTAAAGGGACACCATAGTCACCAAAACAACTTTAGCTTAAAGGGAAACTAAAGTGTCAGGAATCCCCCTACCTCTCCCCGTGGTGCAGAAGGGGTTACACACACAGATAGCTCCTGCAGGGTCTAGCAAGCTATTAATAGAGCAGGAGATAAGAAATTCCAAGTTAAACAGAATTTGCAATAAAGGAAGTGTAAAGATTAGATGACTCTTTACAGGAAGTGTTTAGGAAGGCTGTGTAAGTTCCATCAGGGAGGCATAGGGCTGCACAAATAAAGTGATTTAACTCCTAAAAATGCTTTGGTAACTATAATATCCCTTTAAGCTTTCAGGGTTAGTGGCAGCTAGTAATATGTAGCAACAGGAAACCATTTGCAAAGTGCTAGTTAGTGGCTACCTTAAAGAATAGAAGCTGTTAGCCACTACTTAGAAGCTGAATTTAAGTAACAGCACAAGGTAACTCTCTGTTGATAATGGTGAAATTAACTACTTGCCAAAAGTATCGACATGCATTTTATTTTACT